GTTTTGTTTTCTCCTAATTAAAGAGTCATTTCATTATCTTTTCGTTCGTTTTCACTCGACGGTTGCTAATGATCCACGTAATGAATACGATTTATGCTCTTTTCGAAACTATGTTGGATTACGTTTCAAGTAGATTGAGATAGGCACAATCGATAGTGATCGTTTCCGTACTTGTGTCATATAGAAGTGTCGATACTCAAATCGCGTGTTTGCTCATTCTCTGTCATGGACACTTATAGTGATCGACAAGAGAGCAAATGAAACGTTGCATCTTTACGTCATAGTGCTATATCCTCTTGAGTTATAAACTAACGATGCGCAACTAAAATCCCTCGATAGATTGGATCACCAAAAAAGTTCAATTTTTATTTTTCTTCATATGTGTATAGGGAATTAACCGTTTAATCCGATGAAGATGGTGTTTTTTAAAAAACGATATATTTCAATATATGATCAAGTAGTATACTACACTTTGATGATGAATATATATATACATTGAAGAAGAACAGAAGGTATATTTGCTTGCTCTTATAGACAAGATGTTCATCGTTTTGTGTTGTTTCTTCATCAAAATTTCAAGTGTCTGATGCCGACAAACATTTTTGACTTTTTCTTTTATTTCATATTGTTTGAACATCGAACAGATTGACAATGTACATAGACACGCGCGCATATGTATGTTGTAGTGTTTGCAATAAGGGCTTCTTCCTCTCTTAACGTTTGACTGTTTTTCAAGAGAGTCAAAAGACAACAACACCAATTTTCACACCTCATACAATGTGTGCTAATCAGCATAAGAACAAAAAAGATAGAAAAAAAGGAGACAGACGAAGATCGAAATCGAATCAAACTGTCTTTTCATCTTGATTTATAGAAATGTCAATATATATACATATAGAAAAAAAGAAATTATAGGCACGCGTCAAACGAAATTCGTTATTTTCTTATAAATGCGTGAATCACTGTTCATTTCTTGTCTATGTTTATTTATGTCATCAATTTTCAAAAAAATAAGAATTGTGTAAGATTTGTATATTTCTCTCTTTGAACTAACTGATTTGTTGAAATTGAATCTTTATATTACCTATTCTGAATGTTGTCGTAATAATCACATTGACAATGCAAAAGAAATATCCCGTTAGGCATGTACGTTATGTATGTTGAATGTTCACACCTTTCATCTTAACTAATTATTGAGTCTCTTTAAACGCTATAACAACAACATTTGATACTCACATATAGGCCCTGTCAAGATAAAGATAAATCTTATCTATACATAGTCAATGATCAGAAGTAATTAACGAATAATAAAAAACATTAACAGGAAATTTTGATTTTTTTCGGATATGTGTTGCTGTCAAATTAAACAGCCATTCACTAACATACTGAATAGTATAGATCATTAAGCAAGTATAATACCTTGACGATTTTTTCCCAACAGGTATCGTACGAGTGAACTACCTCGTGGTTCCACCCATCTCGCTATGTGATTTCACTCTTTTTTTCAATGATGATAAATTAGTCTGTCATATAGATATATATATATATAGCCAGCTGTGTGAGAGACAAATTAGTATTGTGGTATATAGGTAGAAAAATGCGAGTAAGAATAATTAGTTATCGTTCGTCGTCTGTTAATGATTGAATCAACACAAATAGACAAGAGTTGGTTTTTTATTTTCAATAAATGAATGAAAGAATGAATGAATAATTCAATAGATTGATTTAGCTGGCTAATGAGTAGAATTTTTTTCACTGGAACCAAAATAACTCAAGCACAAAATATAGTGCAATGAATTTATATGATGTAATCAATAATTAAAAATAAGATAATGAATATTTCAGATTTTTTTTTTGTTTTCTGAAAAACTGATTTTATATTTGAAAACTGAGTACTATTCTTCATTAATATAAGATAATTTTGTGATCAATTTATTCTAACACATTGTTTGATACGAGCGGGATGCACGAGTGTGTACATCTAAAAAATTTAACCTTGTGACACCTTCATATATATATTTCATTTTCTTCTTTTGCTTAAGATGCGACTCAACTAGCATTAACAAATTAGTCTTCTCACTGTTATGTTATTGTTGATCGTTTTTGCTCTTTCTCATGCTTGATAATCACTCTCGTCCCGCCTTTCACAAGCTTTTTTTATCCTCTGGCATCATTATCAAACTAGTTTTCATTGTGTATTTTTGAACATCGATTAAGATGCCCCTTAGGCATAAGTCTACCATTTTTTCTCTAGTAAAAGACTCAAAAGAGAATGAGATTATATTTAGTTATATCATTAATTGGTAAGCACTTATCGCTGCCATTCAATATTCAATGATCTCAACCGGAATAATCTTCTAAGTTGAATAGACTTCATTGCAAATATTGAATTGATAAGATTATAAACTAACGTTTTTTCTATTTTTATATAATGCCACACTTTAACAGCACAAAAAAATGCAAATGGAGATGATGATCAAGTTTGATTTTCAGATTAAACGCCTCCTCCTATTGTTCATAAGCATTCAAGCGAAGCCCCATGTATACATATAAACTTTTATGCAATCATCACGTACAATGTACACATAAATGTATATGTTTAACCATGATTTTGAATCAAACCTTATTTATTTATATACACATTAAATAGAAAAAAACGAGAAAAAAAAACGTTTCATTTAGCAATCGGATGTGGAAAAATATGCATATCATGAATAAAATATATTAAAATTAAAAACTAATACGAAAACGTTCAGTAGATTAAGAGTAACAACTGTTAAACTTGTCTTAACGCCCTTAAGTAAGAATTAAGGCATGTGGATCAGATCTTGATAGTAAAAGATCGTGTGAGATTGATATCGTTCAAACAATCTTGTTTTTATCCTCTTACACCTTTTTCAATACGTTCAAAAGTGATTGGTTATAATATTAATGAAAAGAATGATTGAAAGAAAATGAAAATAAATAGATAGACTAATTTTTTTCTTTTCTCTTTTTTCTCTCTTTCTCTTTTAATGATTGGTTCTTTCTATTTCTTCTCTACCAATTGTTCACACTTTATATTCAATATATAGAGCTACAATTCATATCCGATACACAGTACTTACATTTAAACTACAATATACCAAACATGAAATTCTGTTGTACAAGTGGAATCAGTTCAAAATCAAGAGTAAGTAACATAACATTCCTAGACTTAATATGAATTGTGACATTATCTATCTTCCAGTCAGTATTTTTTCTAGTTCGTTTGAAATTCTTTTCTTATTTGTGATATATTATACATAGGTCTTTCGATTAATCCAATTATTTTGATGTTAAAACTATTTGTATTTCTAAACATGAGAAAAACGAACGTGATTCGCTTGACTTTTCTTGCATTTAAATACAAGCTAAAAGGTTCATTGAAGCACGACATGATCATAGAAGTCATAATTTGTTTTTCTTGTTGTTTGTCTATGAGTATCGATCTATTTTTCCACTTGAAATATTCATCTTGTTTGATCCTATTCATTTTTCGTTCGTTTTTGTTATAGAAATCATTGAATAAAAACAATGAAAAGAAAATGAAAAAACCAAAAGAAAAAATAAATCATTCATTATCGTCATCATCATCGATTTATTATACAAATATGTCAATACCTCACATTAAAAAATATGATAGTGGCTTTTCCGAAACAGCAACAACATTATCATCATCATCATCAAGAGAACATTCAGAAACAATACTTGAACAAATTCTTTCATTTGAAAAAAATTATTATGAAAATTTAAAACAATACATTATTAAATACTCACGACCATTAAGACGTTATTTAAATTCTGATGAAATTGTTGATCTCTTTCAAAATATCGAAAAAGTAAGGTTAACATATTTAAAAAGAAAAGAAAATTATCATCTTTTTGCTTCTATAGATTTCTGCAATATCCGAATCAATTATTCGTCAAGGTGAAAAGTTACTTGATAATACTGATAATATATCAAATATATCCATTTCTATGATTTATCAATCTTGGGTAAGATATTAAAAATTTTTAATACGATTTTATTATTTTTTTTTCTGTCTTTTCAAGTCTGGCGTAATGATTGATTCATATAATTCATATTTATCACGTAGTATACAAGCACAAAATGCATTAAAACAATATGAAAATAAAATTGCATATTTTCTTCAAGTAAATAGTTAAATAAAATGATCTTGATTATTAATAAAATTATTTTTTTCTAGTTTCCAATTGAATATATTGAACGAGAAATTATTGCATTTATTCTTTCGCCTATTCGACATGTTTGTTTATTAAATGATTTATTTCAATCAATGCTTATTGAACATTCACCAAGTACAAATAATATTGATTGGAAAATTATTGAAGGTAAGAAAACACACTTACGAAAGAAAACGAAAATTTATGTATTAAATTTTTTAAGATGTGAGACTATTAGCACGACAAGCGAATGTTATTCTTCAATCATCATGTATTAATCAACATGATAACACCGTATTAACACTAGAATCATCGATTTATTGTGCACCTAATGTAACACTTGAAACATCACAAGATACAACTTTACAATCAGAAATTCTACCAACTATTGTTCTTCATCGTACAAATAAAGAACCATGGGAACCTGTAAGTTATAAAATTTGATCTATAATTATCAATTTATAAAGTTTTTTTTTTTCGTCGTTTAGAAACAACTTGAATTGTCAGATTTAAGATTAAAATTAACTGAAATTGATCGAACAAACATATCGTCATCATCATCTATAACAACAAGTTTATGCTTAGCAAATGTTGTACATATTCAAGAAGATTGTATGAACAAAGAATTACGTTTAATAGTAGCTCGAACAATAAAGAAATCATCAAAATCAGCATCCGTAAAAATGCTCTGTATACATTTACGTTTTGAACATAAAAATGAATATTTTACTTGGTTTCAACAGTTAACAAATGCTGTACAACAAGCAAAAGATCAAAGTTGGACAAAGAAAAATGAACTTGTTATTTAAGAACAAATTTTTGTCATGTTGTATATGTGCGTTTTATTTGTAACTATTTTTTAACTTAAATAAATAAAATTAAATGAAAAATAAACTTGTCATTGATGAAATAGCATTTATGTAGAATGGCGGCAGAGAATACGATATCGTTTTCAAGAACAGTTCAACTTGATATTTAGAGAAGATTATGAGTAATCGTAATGTAAAGTTTAATGACTATAAAAAAAGTGTTCATTGATCTATGTCAGTTAGTACAAACGAGAGAAAGCATGAAATAAATAATCGGATTAAGATTAGAGCAAGACTTGAATATATGATAAATCGCGTTTGATTTTGAAAAATGACGTTCAATAGAGTAGTGCCATCTATCAAGTGATGAAATCAAAATTTTTTGTTAATAGATAGTCTTGAATAAAAAATAGACTTTAATTAGCATGATTTGTAATTGTTACATTTAATTAGAAAAATAAATGTTATGTTGCTGTTTGTTCTCGAATTGGATTCGATGGAATTTGTTTACGATTTTGATTCCAATGTATACGCGTTATCATTCGTCGTTTGTATTCGAATTTCGATAAAATACTAGTTTTTCAGAAAAATAAAGGAATTAAACATTAATTTTATAAAGAATTTTAGATCATCAAAAGAATAACGCAAGGTCAAACGACACTAAAATAATGACATCCGGCTACTCTGTACTCCAGTTAAAAGAGGATGATGTACTCAAAATTCTTGCAGCTCAACTTCATATTGGATCCAAAGATGTTGACTTTCAAATGGATACATACGTCTGGAAAAAAAAACCAAAAAACGAAGGTTAGTATTCCATTAATTATTTTTTTTATACATATGTCTATTTATTAGGTTCAACAATAATCAATATTCGTAAATTTTGGGAAAAACTCGTACTTGCTGCTCGAGCTATCGTTGCTGTTGAAAATCCAGCTGATGTTTGTGCTATTTCATGTCAACCACAAGGTAAAACTTATTATTCAAAACCAAAAAATGTTTTTGATTTATCATATGTTTATAATTAGGCCAACGAGCTGTGTTGAAATATGCAAGATATACGGGCGCTACAGCTATTGGTAAGTCAAATAGATTTATAGATACCTGTTAAAAATTAAAATATATATTCTATTTTAAATAGCTGGTCGTTTTACACCCGGTTCATTTACAAATCAAATTCAAGCTGCATTCAAAGAACCACGTCTCATTGTTATAACTAACCCAAATGTTGATCATCAAGCTATTATTGAAGCTTCATTTGTTAATATTCCAGTTATCGCTTTTTGCGATCCATCAACATGTCTCCGAAATATTGATCTTGTTATTCCATGCAATAATAAGGTAAAATTAAGAAAATCTTTTTTTTCGACTAATTTCTAAAATATAATTTAACTAGGTTAATAAATCAATTGGTCTTATGTGGTGGTTTTTGACACGTGAAGTACTTCGATTACGTGGTGAAATTAATCGACAAGCTCAATGGGATGTTATGGTTGATTTATTTTTCTATCGTGATCCTGAAGAAGTAAATATTGAAATTAAAAATACTGTTTTAACGTTATTATATATATATGAATTTTTCTTTTTAAGACTGAAAAAGAAGATCAAGTTGCTGTTACAGGTCAAGATCGTGATACACAAGCACATGGAATCGAATCAAATTATTATGATGATGGTCCATCAATAATGCCTTCTTCAGAAAATTTTGCAGGTAATCGAGATAATTGGGGTGCATCTGCAGCTGATGGTTGGGGTGCTGTCGGTGCCGGAACAGGTGCTGCTGAAACAAATGAATGGAATGCACCAGCTGCAGCAGCTACTACCGGTGTTTCAACCAACTGGTGATTTACGATGAAAAAAAAACTAACAAAAATCGTTGTTTTCCTAAGCATCAATTTAGCCTAATTCAATACAAGAACAAGAACATTGTTTACTACAATATAACAGCAACATCAATAACAGTAGTAGTAGTACAGTGTTATATCGTTGGGCTCATATTAAATAAAAAAGAAACACAAAAAAAAAATTATAATATATATACATATATATTTAATGTTTTTTCTTTTAATTGGAATAACTACGTGATGAATGAGAAACTTGTTTGTTTGTGCATGAGTGAGAATGCAAACACGAGCATATTAGGTATATACATGTTTGATCTAATTGAGTCATTTAAAAAAAGTAAGCGATGAAAGAGAAATAAAGAAAGAGAACAAGCGAAAAAAGAAAAAAAGAAAAAACAAGTATATAATGAAGAGCACATCTATGGTAATAAAAAAATGCGAAGTAAAAATCGGCGTAAATGATTATTTCTGTTCTCTCACTTTACCTTACCATTGCCACATAGGCATATATCGACGCACATGCTGTAATACATACATGTGTTGCTACGACACATGATGGCCATAGTATAAATGGTTGTCAACCTACCGAGTCACTGAAATATATTATTTAGAAATATAAATCAAAATTATAGCAAAAGCAATCAAGAAAAACGTTTTATATTTCGTTATTAAACTACTTCCATGGTATTAGATAAGAAGAACAAGAATATCGATAAATTTCTTTTTATTTTCTTTAATACGCATTTATTCTGCCTTTTCTTTTATTTATTATAGATTTTTAATTTATATTATTTATTCTTTAAATTCACAATGCTTATAACGGAATTTCGAGTCCTTTTACCGATGACAGTCGAAGAGTATCAAGTTGCACAATTATATGCAACAGCTAAAGTTTCCAAACAAAACACAGGTGGTGGTGAAGGTGTAGAAATTCTTGCTAATGAACCATTTCAAAAGCCTGCATCGGAAGGATTTCTTGGCAAATATAATACTGGTCAATATACGAAAAAAATCTATCATTTAGGTTCACGTGTACCAAACTTCGTTCGTTTAGTATTTAAAGATTCAACATTATCTTTAAATGAAGAAGCATGGAATGCTTATCCATATTGTAAAACAGTTCTAACAAATCCATATATGAAAGATCATATGTTTATTGATATATCAACATTGCATGTAGCTGATCGTGGTGAATCAGAAAATGTTCATCAACTTACTGGTGATGAACTTAAAAAACGTCAAGTTGTCTATATTAATATTGCTGATAAAGTTAGCCGTGGTGATTATAAACCAGAAGATGACCCAGAAAAATTTAAATCAGTTAAAACTGGTCGTGGTCCACTTTTATCGACTGAACCATGGTATAAAAATTGTCAACCATATATGTAAGTTTTACTCGATAGTTATTTTGTTTATTAGCTTATCTCATTCAATCGGACACGATTGAATAGGTAAATAGGCGTATAGCTATAGTCATCAAGGTAAAAATAAAACCTTCTCGAAAGATTCGAATATAATTTAGTATTTAAAAAA